AATTTATTTGTATACAATTTTGTAGAAATATTCCCGGCAGGGTACACGGTGCCTCTCAACTTAACTAACTTTGCAAAAAGACGAAAGGATAAATTGCGCGTGGGGTCGAAGTCTCTCCGGGCAAACAATGTACAGGGGCTCGATTCTTGAATTCATTCGAAGGAGAAACGTATGCGAAAATTCTGCTCTTACAGAAAAGTTGCAAGTTGATCGGCTATTCGCATGGCTTTGACCAATCGACTTTCAACCTTTCTGTCGGAGCAGAATTTTCGTATACGTTTCTTCTTCGAATGAAATTCAAGAATCGGGGCCCCAGGTTCCGGACAGAATTAACACTCCCGGTTGTACGGCAAGAGCACCACAGCGCACCCTCGAGGCTCCCTCGGTAACGAAGGCGCACGGAGCGCCACGGGATCGAGCCACGCGTTCGCCCCTAGGATGTAACACGCGCCCTGGCCGCCCTGGGTGCCCCCAGATCTCCCAGATACTCCGGAGCAGTCCGGAGCCACGAGGTCCGACGACGTGGCCCGACGAGGCCGCCTCGTTTCTGCCTGCGCAAGGGTTTAAAAATAGTTAAAACAACGCGCCGACAAACCACAAATTGCCTCGACTTGGTGCCCCTTGAAATCGCTCGAATGAGTCCCGTGTCCTCGCGGTCCTCTGCCTGAAGACAAGACCGAGCCCGGCTACGACACGCGCCACCTTGCCGATTATGGCTTCGAAAGTCACGCTCTCCCAGGCTCTGGGGACGGACGGGAGCGATTACGGCCACCGGCAGAAAATCGCGACGCACTACCAAGTCAGGTGAGAGAACCCGGGCGAGACCGAGGGCGAGGTTTACCTCCCGGCGAGATTCATCTCATTCATCCAATGGCACGATAATATCAGTTTGCACGTCCGGCTGGATGTCGCCCGTTTCAACAGCTATTGTTTACGCCAGTTTGCACGTCGCATATATATGTATATACATTATTGTGTACCAATCGAGTCAGCGTACACTCTGTACCGAGCAAAGACTCGGATTGTAGTCTGCTATCGTGTATTGGATGAATAGGCTTGGAGGTAAATATTGATGGTTGCGTGTGTAGAGTACAGTATAACAGAGTACAATTAATCTGTAAACTGCACGTGAAATGCGAGATGTATACAGACAATAATTGCTTACGTACACCGTCGTTGCGAGAACCAATGAAAATACCAAGTGCGCTTGTTTCCAGTGCGACAAACAAATCAAGACTGAAGTATTGTATATTTTTTCACTACCTGTTATTCTTCGTCATGCTCGCCAAACTGTCCGCGGACATACTAGACCACCTGGATATATTTATCTTGGAAATCGAAGAGCTGCAAATACCACAGGTACAATAAAATGATATATCCTAACTATACATGTAAGATCCAACGTAATCCGACTGGCCGGCGATTCCTTTCGAGCGATTATATAATTGTTTGCATCGCAAACACCTTTGTGGACCAGTCCCGTCGCAAATGTAACGTGATAGAAGCTAAAGCGTACTTTCCGCACGCTGTCTCTTTGCACGTAGATTAGCATACTTGAGATACTTTCTGTTTAGCAACACAAGTTGTCGTTCTATCTTTCTTAGGAATTCACCAAGTAGCAATGCGTCAACCTGTGCCTTTTAACGGAAAGCTCCCTTGGCGGTGTTGGATTTACTCCCTTCCGTCTAACGGATTGACTTTGTCTTCTATTTCAGCCACTGTGGTGGGAATACATATGGTGCACTAGTTTACTGTTGTCTTTTCTCGCTCTCTCCGCGATTAAAAGGAATAGGATTAAAACACTGCAAAAATACATGATAGGTATCATCTTGCTGGGCTACGGGCCGTTGATTTATGCCATCGTGTACTACTTCAAGGATGTCTGGATATATTTAACCGTAGGCAAAACTGAGAACATTCATTTGTGGCAGGTACGATCGTATTCGAAGCCATCGAGTTTGCTCGACTAAATCTTTTCAAGTAAAGAGCGTCAGTTGTGTCCGCAAGATTCCTTTACACGCGTGTTTTACTTTTCAGAGTCTACCATACGGCGTACTTTGGTACGCTTTTATTCTTTTAGCCTCGCAGGTGCATTGTTTCTCCCTGTACTTTTCGTGGAATCTGCTGGTGGCGTGGAGAACACGAGGGGCCAAAAAACTGGATTAAACTCGAGAGGCTGCTGTAACCATCCACAAATTATGTATTATACATCAATTATGGACGTATATTTTGGCACATGTGAATTTTGACCCTTATTTATTGTATTTACGATGGGAAGGAAAAGATATACAATTGTTGTACAAGAAATAACATCCGAAATCTGTAAAAAAAAACCTATGCGAGAGATGTATATAAATGAAAGAGTATCGTTGTATATATGGGAATATGCACGCATACACAAATTAGATTTGTATTTTTTCAAACGATGGACTTTTACAAGTGCTTGTTCCGACACTGCCTATTTGCTATCTCCAGGGTTGAGTAACTCGTTACTTGTAATGAAGTTACAGTTACTTTTTTTGGTAACTCTAACTTAACTTTGTTACTTTTTCTCCGTATGTAACTGTAACTCAACTCAGTTACATTAATAGTTATTTTATACATATTTGAAACCTCTACAGATTGCATCATGCCTTGCATTTGCGTTTAAACGCCTTTACCGTCGCTTCACGATTCAAATGCAGATTTGATATTTTTATTTTCATCGCAAGAAAGTAATTGCAAAGTAACGATTCGTTACTTTTTCAGTAACTAGCTGTAATGCGTTACTTTTCAGAATCGATAACTTGTAACTGTAACTAGTTACATTTTAGCAAAGAAACTATAACTGTAACTAGATACTTTTATAAAGTAACTTTCCCAACCCTGGTTATTTCTATAATGTGTAACGAGTACCTACTTTATAAAAAAAACTTCACATCAACGGAAATCGTGTGAAATATCGTGTTCATAAAAAAAACAGTGTACAATATCGATAAGTAAAATATATGCTAATTTGTTTTGTCTAAATTACAAATTGTTTCGCAAACTAGAAATGTAAGGGCTTGATTAAACGCTACTCTTTGTGATTGAAGAGGCAAATGGATAAAGACATGCAACAAAAATTCGGCGTTGAGAAAAATGCTATAAAAATTATTTTATTGGAGGTCTTCTAGACTGAATTTGTCTCCAGTATAAAATAGCTTAATTAGAGGATTATTTATGGACTAGGTGATACACAAGAGTACACACATACCAATGATTACACAATGATATTGATAATTACCAATACGAGAAAATTATTCGTAAATATTTTGCAAAATGCTTTAAAACTTTCAGGAATGGGTAGAGTGTGAGCAATCAGATAAAAGATTACACTCGAAAATTCTAAAAATTCTGAAAATTTTATATATAAAAATTTACGCTTATCGCTAAAATTTTACTTCCTAATAAAGTGTCACAAAGGTGTTATTACGTTGGAAAAAGCTTACAGTGTTTCCAACAATTCCAGCAGTTTTAGAGCTTAATAACGAAGAAGATGGGTGTCTCTTTACGGGATCGCAAACACAATTTATCACACAGTGTGTTAGTCATCATTGAGAAACTGATCTAGTGGGTTTGGGCCTATTCTTTTCGGTGTAGTCAACACTTTCGCCGGATTGTCAGCTGAAATGCACTCAAAATTGATAAATGTTAGAAAATGCACACACACACACACATATGTCATGCATGTGTATGCATAAAAGAAAAACAAAGATATTGCGTCACCTGTTGTTGGACGCTGAGCATTAAGACAGCTGAGCCATTCTGTCAGACTGATCAGTCTATCGTTATTGATGTCACAATATCTCGGTAATTTTTTACCACATCTCCGGAGTTGTCTATTTGCTATACTCGCTACCATTGTGCGAAAACTTTTCCACTCTTTTTTGTCTAAAGCCTGTAATAAATAATACATGTTTATTACAGGTACCTATAATATATGCGAGGCGTAAAACTACCAAAGATGAATATTTTTGGGCCATCACAAAAGTAGAATAAAGCTGACAACGAGAGAAAGTAATTAAAAAATCAATCAGCAGAATTTAATTATAAAAGAGCAGAAATTATAAACTTTTCTCTAAATGCGATTAGTGGATTGAAAAATTGTTCTGCCCGTATTTATGTTGAATATAATAATAGCATCTTATATATCTCCATCAATAGATATTGCTGAAAGATAAAAATCGCAGATTATCTTCTGTCGAATACCTTATTTTTATTTTTGTCGAGCATCACAAAATGCCACATGGCTATTTTTTCCTCCCTAGAAGCCTGCCAATTGACAGTAGTTTCGTTAGAATCGATGTTGGAAGCTTCCATTTTCTTTTGCATGAGCTCCATTAGGTCCCGAAGGAATATTTGTTTCTTTAACTCTGGACATCCTAGGAACGTTAGAGAATTAATATCATTAGTTTGAAATATACAATTTCGATATACGCAACGAGTAATTTTCAAGAAAACGAACTACAACTACCTTTCATAGGTCTACTGGGAGTCGGAACTGGATTACAATTCGGCGAGAGATCCTTCGTGGATGTTCCTGGTATCGGCTTACCAGTATCTTGATACACGCACCAACAATAACCCGCATAGCACTGCACTCGATGATACCTTCCATCGGACATGCATTGTGGAACATACAAATTCTTTTCTCGCTGCTTCTGATCCTCCAATACTGATCTTCTGTCCGATATGCAGTCATTTGCTGCAAAGGAGAAGATATTAACAGTTTCGTATGTATAGAAATCTGTACGTGATTTATTTGACGATAAAGCCGATGTGTACGTTACAATCTAAACAAAAAAAGCATCTGAGAGTGTAGAGACAATATTTGTAACAAAGCATCGATAATTACATTAAACATGCACTTGTTACAATTGTCGAACTTACCATCGCTTTCCTCCTTAGTATCCAAATGATCGTTATTAAATGGTAAAGTGTGAATAGGATGGCCAATGGCTGGGCTACCTTTCAAAACTGTAGAAAATAAAGAAATTTGTTACAAGTCTACTTTTCAACATATCTAATCAAATAGGAAAATTAATTAATTTTCTCTCTCTCTCTCTCTCTCTCTTCTCTTCCCCTCCTCTCTTTCTTCCTCCTCCTTTTCTTCCCTTTCTCTCTTCCTCCCTCTCTTCTTCTTTTAAACTGCCAAAGCACAAATACTCTCTTAAATACTATACAGCGGATTCAAACAAAATCGTGATTTATTATCGAATGTTGATAATAAGTAATTACCAACACTTCAATATAATATAAATGTCCAATTATTAACAAAGAGAACACTCGCGCAATGCTGACGTGCGTATTAAACATTGGTGTAAATTATGTGCGATAAAATGGCACTTGTATTAGTCTTCAATTCATATTAAAAAAGTCTCTCCTGGTGAGAAAGAGAAAATTATCTTATGCGGTAAAAGTTGGCTGTTAAAAATGGAACATAGTTGAAATAATGTTGAATCTCGCAGGGTTGCATCATTAAAAATAGATCTATCCTACGAAAAGAGGTGTGGACAGCGCCAGATGCGAAGGACTGGGACTCACCTCGGTCCTTGGCCCGTGTCCTTTGGGTCTCAGGGACCTCGGCACGCTCGTCTGCGGGGTTCAGCGACAAGAACAAACGTACTAAATGATAACAATGACAATCACTCAGCCGATCGATCTTATCTCTATGTGTGCAATTTTTGTTTTGTGTCATCGCAGGATTCTTAGCGTGCCACCGGGCATTGATAATTCAACAACGATAGAAATTTGGTGGAGTGTGTGGACGCACAAGATATGTACTAGAGATGTGGATATTCATACGGTACGAAATTTTCTTATATGAAAACATAAACATGTATAATTATATGTAAAATATGTTTATATACGTTTTCCCTAAACCTGTTGCACTCAATGCACTGTATTTCTCTTTCTACGCGAACATTTAAATTAATGATATAAAAAAAGAATTAAAATTGGAAAGAAATAGAATTATTGCGAGATATAAAAACCCATGGTAAAATAATGATCCAAATGATCAGAATCGTGCCATCTCAATTTCTGGCAGAGCTGCGTCCAACCGTTGCGAATAATATAAATTAGTCCTCCCTTAATTCTTTCCGTTTCTTTGGGAATTTGTATTCTGTGTCTTCGAACGATGAACAAACGGAGCCGACTATCGCGACTATTTTATCGAGAAGTAACACAGAGAAATAACGCAGCGGTTTACTTGTTATTAGACAGTCATAAATAGCAAATAATCATTGCCGTCATGACGCATGGGCGAGAATTTAGCTCGTACATGAGGTCAATTACTTCAATTCCTCAGCAGCCGGTCGCACGCGCGCATTCGTGTAGGCAACTTCCGGCAGGATTCACAAATGTTAAGCGAGTCGACGACGACGGCACATGTGGTCCTTGACCACGCGACATCCTGTTGCGGCGGTATCGTCGTTAATTTAAAGCCGCGATTTACTCGCCGAAATGACATTCCTCCTCCGCCTGATTATACTCGACGGAGAATTGTCCTTCCTCTCCCTTTTATTCGGTTCGACTTTCTCGGGTACCGCAAAACCTTTGTCTGCAATATGCCTCCGCACGTTTCTTGCGTACCGGTCTCGACGATACACCCTCGAAATCAATCGTGCAGAACGAGCGGAATGTAACGGCAAATAATTTGTTTCTAAATGAGTTTTGTTTTTTACGGTATTCACGATTCGCTTGAATGCAATCGTGGAAGAGCGTGAAAACTTGGATCAGTAAAATCCAGAAACTGAGAGCTTTAAGTCTCTAGTTAGAGAAAAAATTATTAATGTTAAAAAAAGATTTATTAAATAGATTCTTTTCGCGTATTAACGGCATACTAATGTGAATGAAAACTTTAGGAGGATTTCTTTTTTATGCGCTTATCTCTGTATAATAGAAAGCTCGTTAAAATGTTTTGTTCGTGTCATACGAGAAGGGCGAGTTCTTGTCTGTCCTGATAACTTTGTAAGATTAGATAAACGAATACACCTACTGTACAATCGTAGAAAAACCAAACTCTCGCTTTTCTTTTAGAAGATCTCTACGGAATGTCGAGTTTTTACACAATTTTCAGCTCGGTTTAGTCTTGCAAAGCACGCTGGACGCGAAGAAAAAATTCATTTTTCTCCATCATCCAAGACTACAAGTGAGAATTTGGTTTCCAATAAAAGAAGTCCGTGCAAGTGGCACAGTGATAAACGAGGCAACATGAATGCAGCAACTAACAAGGGACATGACCTAAGTGTCCGGCGCCGATTGTTCTCTCCTTGAAATATGTTATTAAGCATTAAAATCTAAGAGATACGTACGGAATGCGCGTTACTAGGCCACAAGTCTCAGCCTCGAAACAAGCCCTATATTCTGTAAAGAGACTTGCGCTCTTCGAGTGTTTCGTTCTTTTCTCAAAGAATTGCGCGCTTGTCGTGTACACTGTGCCACTGCCCAACGGTTAACTTGAAAGAAGACTCGTACAATATGCATGTGACTTACGAGTGAAATCACTGGCGAGACAAGCACCCCATTCCTGCTTGGATAGTTTTAAATCCCGATTTAGATCGCACGTGCGGGCGAACGTGCGTGCGCACTTCTTCGGTCTCACCGCCTTCTTGGCGAGTCTTCTGAGCTCCTGGTACTCAGTCTTATCTAAGTAACCGTCCGCGTTCTGGTCCAGCATGAGGAATTTCCACGACAACACCCGTTCGACATTCTTATCGTCTATCAACAGGAAAGCAATGCAGTCGCCATACGGAGGTACTGAAAAACTACGTGCGCCGACGCGATATGGTATATCGAGGCACTGTCTTCTGATTTTTTTTCAAAGCCACAAGCTCGCTTCGCGCTAGCTGATCGAGTTAATCGCGTTAATCAGAAGACCGATTAATCATATTCTTAACGATTGCGCGCGCCGCTTACCGTCAGCGGATATATTAGTCCGCCTGTATTCGATTCTGAAGTTCTCAATGAGGTTCCCGTTGAACTTGGATTTCTCGGTACGATCGCAGGTATTCCGATGCCTATTGCTGACGTACTGCCTGCGTTGCTTCTTAGCCGGCGAGCGTCGCTTTTGGCCGCTCCTAGTAGAAGCAGCTGATCTGGAACCGGCTCTCAAACATTTCGGTTTATCGTATTTTACCGTTGTGTTGGGCAACGGCCAGCCTTGCGGTGTTACACACCAACAATAGTCAGTCTCGGCGTGACACTGAATCGACGCGTACGTTCCATCGGGAAGACACTTAGGCCTTATGCCCAGCCGAGCGGTCAGTCTCGCTGAGAAGCACGCTGGTGTCTCTAGATAAAAGACGTATCATTCGCTTAACTTGACTTTCATTCTGTTCTATATACGCGCGACAGATCACGGCAGATGTTTAATAAAAAGGGGCACTGCGAGTTTGTGCATCTAACAGGCAAAGATCTCATTTCAAGAGAGAAAGATAGAAGGAGGGAGATAGGAGGAATCGAAAGCAAAACACTTGGACTGTAATCTGAAAGAATTTCTCACCTAATTCTTCACAGGTGTAAACTTATCAAGGGCTAGAGAGAGACAAAGGTGCAAACCTGGACAAGGTCCGGTGTGTTTGACGAGAACGGACGCGCCTTGACATTGCTCAGAAATAATCTGACACTGATTGGAATATGTGACTCCGTCACTTCCGCACACCGGCGTACTTCCACCACCGTTCATCGTGCATTCAGCTATCCTTTTCCTACACTCCTCCTGTAATGAACAACAGAAATTTACGTCCTGCAAAAAGTATCCGTTGCTTTTTAGAGCGAGGCGTAGCGCAGATTAGCGACACTCCAGGGTTAAATGTACATACGTTACACACGTTAATTACACATCCGTTAAATATGTGATCGCTCGACTGCAGCGTGACGTCTCACGGCGGAAACCTCGACGGGAAGGGAATAGTTGTATAGCTACTCGGTCGCCTTTTGTCGTAATTAATTTGATAAGGAGGAAACGAATGACCACGATATAAAGGAAAACGATTTTCTCCTCAACCGCTGCATCGAGGGATCACGCGTGCATGAGCGACTACCAACGTTATCGCCACGGGGATTGATCGAACCGCACGATTTCTCACAATCTCGCGCGCATTCCCTCGCACAATTTCGAAAACAACCTGTCGCGCGAGGGTAATTTAACTATTAAGAATATTCTTAAAGTCGCCAGCAGTAATTATAAATTAATAATATCGGTGATTTTTTGTCGACCGTGTCTGGTAATTAAAATTCTTATTGCGAAAAATATTACCCCAGCCAGGATTCGAACCTGAGTAATTTAACTTGACGATTGTGTTATGCGACGTCTCTCCCTACGTGTCGTCATTCTTTGTAAATTTAATTGAACGCATCATCTTTCCTTTTTTCTGCCTTTACTTTTGACGGCTTGTGCTTAATCACAGTCGACAGTTTTAAGATTGAGAAAAAGACCACTTCGCTATTTACAATTGAAACGTGTACAAACATGTCCGTGCTTACTGTCCTTAATCGATAAATGGGTTTTCATTCACGAATCTTTTACACACGTATACAAAAGGCCCCAATAACTTGGTACATTTTCTTCGATTGCCTGTTAAATGTGCGGTAAGCGTATAATCATTGTCATGAGGCAAATTGCAGGCGCTAATCCTACAGTTTTTATTCCCCGTTTCATGTTGTTGGCGCGAAATTATCGCCGCTGCAGAACGGAATTGGTATAATTGCTAAATTGATACAATTGCTAAGAACAGTGAAAGTTTCGCTCGTTTAAGCCTCCACTTAATAACTTTAAATATTACGCTGCGGCGTTCTATTCTTGCGCTTGCGATTTTTTACGGTTTAAATTTGAAATTTTAGTTAAATAAAAAAGCGTTTCGTGAAATTTCTCCGCCTTCTTTTTAGTTCAATCTATAATAAAATGTAAATGTACTTGTGTATTTCGCTTCGAGAATATTATCGACACAATAACGTATCGACGTATAAGACAGTTACATCTCTTAAAAATAATGTCCGGCAAAAAGTTTTGTATATAACAATGTATATAAATATATGTAATTATATCAAGTATATCGACATGTGTTTCCTTTCTTTGCATAATTTCCGTTTGTATATACACAAAAAACAATAATTAAAAAATTTAAAGGCTAATTTTTTAATTGCTGTTGCACAAGAAAGTAAAGTTTGAGAAAATGAAAAATTGCCCGTATACATATGTAATAATCGTAACGACATAAAATGTTATTACACAGAATATTGTACAATCTTCTTAATTTTTAATTTTACTTTTTGTAAAGAAAAAAGTGCAAAAGCTTTTCCTAATTATTTCTCAATTATATTCTTCTCTATTATTTTTTTCTACATATGCAGGTAAAAATTATACAAAAGAAAGAAAACACAAAGAACATATTTTATATGAAAAACTCTTCACCGGGAGAGACGTCGTATTTCTCCGAGCAAAAAAATCCGAGGCGAGAATCGATTAAAAATCTTTATATTCTACCGGCTATAAATTTTACAGAATTTACAAATTTACAAATTTACAACGGCCGTAGGCAGCAAGTGCCAATGTGTCGATAAACGCTAATTTGGTGAGCGTGGCGAGAGTCGACAAACCAGCGCCATTGTTATAAACCACCAACACCATTGTATTTGCAAGAGAATGCACGTTTCGCGCGTGCCTCTCGTTGTTGCATTTGCGTTTACATTTGCGTTATCAAGAAAATGATTTTGAAGCGTCGGTTGGCCAATGGCGGCCGAAGGTAATACCCGAGATAGGGTCTCTCAAGACAATTCGCGCGGGGGAATAAAAAGAGAAGCAAATCGCTCGAGTACCTTAGCCGATGTCACGGTATTAGCCGCCGCGGCGTCAAGATCGACGGCGAGCAACAGGAGTACGGCGACTCGCATCGTCGGGAACACCATCGTGTTCTCCCCCAGTCCTCTCGATGCGTTTCTCAGAAAATGGTGAAAGAACGAGGGAACTTGTCTAAAAAACACGCCGCTAACACGCGCGCAACACTCTACACACGTACACCCGCTACATTCCTATGTTCCCAGCATACAGCGCATTCCCGTTTGTCTGTCTTTTTATTCGAAATGCTGTGTGCACCGCCGACACTCATCGGTTTCCCGATCGATGAACCCGCCGAGTTCTGTCCCCCCGATGAATTTCGGAGGACGAGGACGGGCCGGGAAGGATTCCTGCGTGGATCCGGATGGTTCCGCGCGAGGCGTGCCGTGACCAACCGTAGCGAATGCCGCGGATCAACTGGCACTTGCCACTTGCCAGGCCGCTGGAGCAGCCTCCGCAACGGCCTGATATTCGTGGCACTCCGACAACTCACTGCGTGCCTCGTCCAACGCTGCGGGGCCCCGATCCCTATCGGGAGTAGGGATGAATACTCCCCGAGTCTAGAAACCGTAGCGACTTCGACTCATTTCTGCCTCCTTCGTGTGGGACTAGTATTTTTGACACGACGTCGACACACGTTTCTTTCGACAATTTTCTTTTAAACGCGATCTCGAGCGTTTTGCCGATTGCTCTTTAAACTTTGCAATTTTGTACGTACACACTATCTGCGAAAATCTGGTAAAGAGTTCGAGAGAAGATAGAGAATTAAACTAAATTAAATTTACATTGGACCAAAATTAATTCAAGTTCACCTTTTAAAGATAACTTCACCTCCCGGAAAATGCTTTTTTTGATAAAGGAAAAAGTAATTCTTCGAAGAGATGCTTAAATATACGAAATCCATTAATCTCTCGACATGATAAATCATCATTGTATATGACTAATAGAGGTACATAGAATAGTTTCTTTTTACTTACAATTAGTGCATTCTTAAAGAAATAAAGATGGTGACCCACCCTATCTTTCGACATTCTTCTCAAATGCAACATTTTGTCCTTTTTTCCTCTCTCTCTTTCTGTTATTTTTCAACAAAATCGATTTTAATGTTTTTGTAGAAGAGAACAAGAATGATATGATTTTACAGCTGCATCTGCAAAGTGATAAAACGTTAGAAAGTCAAATATTTCCTGAAAAAAATTTTTTTACATATGATTATATTAATTAATATGCTCGCGTGTGTTTTTCTTTTCTCGTGTCTCTGTGCGTATAAGAAAAATAACAGAAAAATGAAATTGGAAAGAGAGCTTAATAGCTAATAAGTGCGTCAACCTCAAACGATGAGTGACGGCGAACTAATAAAGCTACGTGTGTTCAAACTCGGTGCAGCATGTTTGCACATGTCCAATGTTTAGATCGTCCACCCAACTGTCGACCTGCGTCACGTAGGTCGATTCACAGAAGCTCAGTCTCGTCATTTAATAGACACACCTCGTGCAAACACATTGATAATATGATTATTGCATATGATTATGCGTAGACAATACTTCTTATTTACTTAAACTTCCACTTTCAATATAAAAAAAGCAATGCAAGCATTATCTTTTATTGTTTAATTGTTTCTCTTATTATTTTTTCTGTATATACGAGGAATTGCATAAGAGAAAGAAAACATATATATGAACGTATTTTAAGTATAATTACATACATATCTATATACGTTTTCAAATAAAAACCTGTTTTGTTAGAAATCATACATATTTCCTTCTCTCTAGAACCATCGTTCTCGCATGGTAAAGCATAAAAATGTTCGATGACTCGACGTGCATTACATGATTCACGAATGACAATAAATAAAGGATAAACCGATCGAATTGATTATCATATCTGCGTGAAGTATATAACACACTGAAACAATTAAACTGTAGAATTATATAATATATAAAATAGCGCGGTCTCCTTCCGGCATTAATCTCTCATCAACGTGACCCTTCATTATCTCGTAGCGCGAATTAAATTCGGACCGCGAAGCGTGCCAAGTCAGAAGCGGATAGAAATTACGTCCGGCAGTGCTTTCATTTTCCTCCTTTTCATTCGCGCGCAATGCGGATGCGCGACACGTGCCAGATGCGATCGGAGACTCCACGTGAGTCATCGGGAATTCGAAACCGATTCAAAACTGGTTGTTCGACCGATGGAATGTAACTTTTAACAGCGAACGGGCCCGCGGTTAAACGATAGCTCACAGAGCGAGTGTACTTGAGGAGAGGGGGGGGGGGGGGAAACCCGCCATGCCGAGTCAATTTTAAAGAGCCAATGTGGGGAATATCAGCGGAGAATTTTATATCAATACTTTTTATATTATTAAACACACCCGACACAGAAGGTGCCGCGATTATCGACTCGCCTCCGTCTGAAGATTTGTCCTACCCCATACAGCACAGATCCCAGACAGCACAGACCTCCCGAAGATGTCCTAAAGACATTCTCTGGACGTCCTCATATCCTAAGAATGTCCTAAGAATGTTCCCAGGACATCCATAGGATATCGTGTGCTGTCTGGGATGGTTGCAGTTACATTGCAGAAACGTTGCAATCTTGCAGAGACATTGCAGGGATATAAAATTGCAAACTTTCGACAGCAATGTTGCAGCAATGTTTCAAAAATAATAAAAATACTATATTTTCTATTTAAAAAATTTTTCTAATTACGAGAATTTTTTAATGTTATTTTCGTTGATACCAATAATGCGCGAATTATTAAGTACTTGATCAGATCGCGGTGTTGCTCGCAATCTCCATCTATTGCGAAGCGACATAATCTCCTTAGGTTGCTTCGCAATAGCTTGCTGTGTATTGAAAAAGGCCCGGATGCATATGTAATTAGTAAATTCTCTGCTTTTGTACAACAACAACAAATTATTCCAAAAATATTGCACCTCAACATTGCTATAATGTTGCACTGCAATCTCTCTGAGGGCGGGCATTTCAACGTTGCCGCAATCCTCCAGAAACGTTGCAGCAATGTTGCGCAACGTTGCTGCAATATTGCAATCTTGCAATGTAACATTTCTGCAATCTTCCTGCAATCTTTCTGTGCTGTGTGGAACGAGCACGAACGACCGGTTATCGTTACAAACCGAAGTAAAATGACGCGTATAGAAAACGCGATCCCTCGCATCGAGCTTTGCCTTCATTCGACAGAGTCATCTAAGGCGATTATCTTGAAATTAAAAGAGAGCGCGATTCGGTAAAAAACTTTTAATTCAAAAATATATAATTACATGTATACACACCAAGCGTGTGCTAAATAGACAAATAATTCAAAGTAAATTACAACGAGAACGGAAACGTGAGCTAAGTGAATGCAACTTCGAGAGAATTAATTGAAAAGCAAAACGTGGATATGAAGATTTTCAGGTCGTTTAACATTTATGCGGATTTGATACGTTGCGTGTTCGTCAACGCGCTCGTTCTCGCATTAATTGATATTTCAATTGAGACGCGTTCTCAAAGCGAGCACGGGTCGAACGCTCCGGGTTTTATTAACAGCTAGATCGGATATCTAGAGTTATTTGCTCGCGCGAAGAGGAGCGGCATGGGGCAAAGGGAAAGCGGACTCGATTGGTTGCGCCATGTTGTTGACACAGCTTCCGACTCCGCCGACGAAGCTCCACTGATTATCGCTGTGTCAACAATACCGCGCTCGTATGTACATATGTACATACATGCAACATATCTACTTGCCCTTCTTTTTTTACTTTCTGTCACTTTGCGCTTGTCGTCTACATTTCGCACGGGTAATCAGTGTATTATGAAATGATAAAATGCCTTATACGAATGTTTCACGCTAGAGAGAGAGAGAGAGAGAGAGAGAGAGAGAGAGAGAATTAGGAAAAATACTTTTTCTTTTTAGTTTCATTCGCAGTGCACGCAACAGTGGTATTCTGCTTTTCTCTTTCTTCCCTTCCTCTTCTCCCTTTCCATCGCTGTCCCATTCCTTTTCCTGCCGCTCTCCAGCTTCCTCTCTCGATCTCCCTTTCTTCCTCGTTAATTTCTGTTTCTCTTTAAAGATATCTTTGCGCAAACATGTCCTATCCTATAAAAGTCAATCGAATAGCAACTGTTTCGACATAGTTTACGCGTTAACTGTTTAGAGAACTTTTATTAGTTTTACATTTAAAAAAAACAATTAAAAGAATGAGATAACTATTTACAGAAACACTATTAAGCCTCCGCTGAATCGCACAATACTTGTTGAAGAATGCGCATCCCGTCTTCGAATTTATGATACACGTACGATTGTTCTACCGGTGATCTAATAGAAATCTTTTCCACTGTTATCACCGTCCCATCTTCATTCTCCGTTAAACTCCAGATATTGCGAAAGTATATTGTTTGAATAGGGTTATTGATGAGGCTCGAACTGGTCCATGCACATACATGTACCTATAATTATCGTTACATTTTATTGGAAAAATAGCTAAAAACATAAAGATTACGATTCTCTCGACTACTTATAATTTTTTTCCACAATATTGTTACACGGACTTGTTTGACAAATCAGTCTTGAAAGAATCCGGGAGAAAGTAGATAGAAAATGGAAAATCATCTGTCGAGTCGAGACAATTGGCCCGGGAGACCAAAGATTTAATGTTTGCAATGTTAAAAATTGATTTCCAGTGCCGCTAAGTAACAATTTCTATGGCTCGCAAAACATGCGCACCTTTGAGAAAGAGTATAGACTTTTTTTATTCGGAAAATTGATTTTATCAATCAATCAATCGTGCTTATAATCTCTCACTTACATTCTTTTTCAAAATCCGCGAGCACGATTTCATCGCATGTAGTATCAAGGCACAGATTCTGGCGACGTGCATGCTCGAGTCGTTCCCAGCTGCTTCCAAGCCGTCGGGGTAATCGTCCAAGTCTATCAGAAGCACGGAGGGTACGGCTGCATAGGTATGCAGTTGAAAAAGTTGCTCCACGAGAGCCTTGTAATCCTGCAAATATCTGCGTAAATAAATATTAAGACGTTACCACACAGCGATGCATGAAATACGTAGAGGAAAGTCTCCTATTATGAGATAAACACTTAACACGAGATAGCAGAGTCTCTGCTAAATTAATAGGCATTATCTGTTGGCTCCATCACAAATTCATTGCCCTTGGAGTAAAATTTGTTTAGTGGGAAATTCATCGTTAGATTGTGTAATCGTTGCGAAAAAAAAGATTTGCGATTGAATTTGAGTGTTGAAACCTGCTGTCTCATATTAGAAGCCTATCTCATAATAGAAGACTTTCCTCTACATATAAGTGCATGGTCAATAAGATTCGGTGCAATGCGTTTCACTAGTCTTGAATGTAATATTGTCACACGAGACAAATTTATTGAATACAAATTGCTTTCTCCGAATGACGTTGCAATCTTGCAGATTGCAGTGCAATCTTGCAGAGACATTGCAGGGATATAAAATTGCAAACTTTCGATAGCAATATTGCAGCAATGTTTCAAAAATAATGAAAGTACTATATTTTCTATTTAAAAAATGTTTCTAATTACGAGAATTTTATAATGTTATTTTCGTTGATACTAATAATGCGCAAATTATTAAGTACTTGATCAGTGCGGTGTTGCTCGCAATCTCCATCTATTGCGAAGCGACATAATCTCCTTAGGTTGCTTCGCAATAGTTGCTGTGCATGAAATACGTAGAGGAAAGTCTCCTATTATGAGATAAACACTTAACACGAGATAGCAGAGTCTCTGCTAAATTAATAGGCATTATCTGTTGGCTCCATCACAAATTCATTGCCCTTGGAGTAAAATTTGTTTAGTGGGAAATTCATCGTTAGATTGTGTAATACACTTGCTGTGTATTGAAAAAGGTCCGGATGTATATGTAATTAGTAAATTCTCTGCTTATGTACAACAACGACAAATTATTCCAAAAATATTGCACCGCAACATTGCTATAAAGTTGCACTGCAATCTCTCTGAGGGCGGACATTTCAACGTTGCTGCAATCCTCCAGAAACGTTGCAGCAATGTTGCGCAACGTTGCTGCAATATTGCAATCTTGCAATGTAACATTTCTGCAATTTTCCCGCAATCCTTCTGTGCTGCGTGGGTATCAAAGTCTTTGGGAAGCAGTGACAAATGGGATATCCCGTGAAACACACATGTAACGTAAATCTCACATGAATCTCATTAGTTTGAGAGCGACGACCGTTGGATCTCTTCTGTCGTGGCAGGCCGCCGGTCGTCTTTCCAGAGGCATCGGGGTGATGTAAACGACGCGTTGTCCTTCCTCCGCCCAGTACGTCGCGGCCTACGTAGAAAAATATTTTCCGCCTTAGAAAGTCTCTCGTAGGAATGTCGAGATAGATTCGCGTGATAAGTGATTTCAGCGTTGGAGCCTCGGCGGTCGCTCACGTTTGCAGGTGTGAAAATAACGTACCTCGAACATGAAAGATTTGCTCAACTCTTTCGGGCCGCACAACAGCGTCGTCTTGACGTTCTTCGGGAACATAATTGTTGATGCGTAGCAAGGGTTGATAACCTGCAATGCGAAGATCCTGATAATCCTGAAAATAATCCTGAAGCGACTGCTTTATTCGCGACAAAACGTTGCGAATGCGCAACGATTATCTCTATCAAGCCAATAAAAAGCTGATTTTTTTATCCGGTACAAAATACAAAAAAAATATATGTAAAATATATCCATATATGATTTCCTTCTTTTTGTATAAACTTTCGTGCATGCGGTAAAAGATAATTAAAAGGACAATTGTCTCTGATTAAGAAGAAAATATCGCAGAGATAATAATCGAACCACCTTTCCCCGCGACCGTTGAATTGTCTTTTGCGTGAGTTTAAAAAAAAAGATTTTCAGTTCTGAGACTCAATCGTGAATCTTTTCCTCAAGCGTGAACTCGAGAAAGGTGAAAATTTTCATTGACAAATATTGAATTCGTTAATGAAAATTTTTGCTTTTCGACGAGTTCACACTAGAGAAAAGATTCATGACGGCCGAGCTCCTGATAGCAACTGCTCCCGACTTGTGGTGTAAATTGACGGCTCTAAAGGCCTTTGCACGTAAAAAAGTGTTAACCGTAACCGTAATTTATTTAGTCCGTGCAACCCAAGTAAAATTCCGTAGGTTACGGAATTACGGTTGTTTTCTGTTCCCGCACTGGTGAACTAGTGCAGTAAGCTTGAATGAGGAAAAATACACTTGTCCTACTCTAATTTATTGCACTACTTCACCAGTGTAGCAACAGGAAACAAGCCTCTGGATTGCTCCATTTGTCTGTACGTGTTGAAAACTACGATTACGGACTAAAATTACGGGTACGGTTAACACTTTTTTACGTGCAAAGGCCATAAGAGAATATTATCCTTGAACGCACGTATTCGAAATAAAATTGTTGAAGAGCTCAGGGGGTCACACCGAAGGAAAAAGATTCAGAATCTGGAAGAATCTCAGAACTTGGAAGATATGATCGCATATGAACGCAAAAATTAATTTAACCTTCCTTCAACGCAACACGACAGCGCGAGGCCGTGAAGTTGAGTTTAAGACGCGCGCAACGAGCTGCGCATGCGCAGCTTATAAATTAATTATAAATTATAAATTAATGAGAACAGCGATGAAGATTAGGTACATATTCGTTTAATATAAGAGAAAATAAAACAATAATTTTCGTTATATATAATTATATAAGATATATATATTAAAAAATATATATATTTTATATATTTGAGTTTTTAATAACACCTATATATTTTATAAAAATAAAAATGTACATTTAATTGAATAAAATACGATTCATTTAAGTAATATATGTATTTACGTGTATTTATGCAAGCATATATGTATTTTTGTTGAATAAGAATAAATAATTCTGACGATTTGAAGATAATTAAAAGATCTATAAACTTTTTTTAAAGGCAAAAATTATCAAAAATCACTAAAAATACGGTTTTTCGATAATTTAGGGGTGGCGCATCATTCCAAAAATCTGAAAAAATTTGTGAAATTAAAATTACCGAAAAATATTATTCACAAAAAAATTGGGGGTGAAGCCCTCTCAAGCTCGAAAATATTGCGATTTTTCATATTTAGTATTTTTTAAAACTAAGAAGATAGGTCTCCTACGCATTGAAAAAATTTGTATTAATGCAGTTCTATTAATTATGTTTAGATACTCAATTTTTTAAACAATTAGAAACGATAAAACGCGCGCTTCGCGCGCGCAGTTTGTGGTCGTGCATTGTATATTTTTAAGAATTTGTATACACGTGAAGAAGTAATTGTATGCGCAACGTTAATTTAAAATAAAAAGTAATTTGTCACTCACTGATACGGTTCGCAACAGCAAAGTTGTACATCGCTAACTATAATCAAATTTATTATAATATAAACATATATTTTGAACTGAATACATTATAGTGTTACGTCCTGTGGACTCCACGATTTCTCTCTTTTGGAAAGCTATAAGAAATATATATGTTTTTTTCTCTTGGAAACTATAATTTTAGAAATCAGCGGATATCGACTAGCTAACGCACGAGTCCCTTCCCCACAAAAAATTGTTTGTCAAAGTTTCACTTTTCGAAACTCGAAACGTAAAGTGCTTAGATTGTTGCTGGTCGATAGCCGTTGAAATATAAAAAAGGGGAGAAATAACAGATAGGATGGGATCAGGTCCATCAGACGGCAATACAAACTTTCACAAATGTTGGTCCTAATATTAGTTCGTTCCTTCATAAACGTCGGCCCGTAATTTTGACGATAACGTTGCCGGGCCGGAAGCCGCGGACCACCTTTACTATACATAAGTGCGATCCGAGACACAAAAAAAGGGGTTTCTAAAATCCATACGCCGACCAAAAATCTAACACCCAAAATTATGCAAAATCCAGACTATTGCATTAAATACAATTTATATTTAATATTTTTGAAAATTGGGTATTTATTAAAATAATTATATAGAATACTGAAAGTCTTCCTTTTAAATATGAACTCACAAAATTTTATACATATGGTTTTGTCTCTAACACTTATTCGAATCCACGTTCGAATCATTTGACTAAATAAAATAAAAGCACAGAACAGATGCTTTATTTTGCACAATTAGCAAATAACAAAAATGTAAGTACACTCACCTTACGATTTCTCTGCCGTTGCCCAATGCCGCCTAAGCCTGCTCCTCCTCTCAGATTTTCTTGTTGCACTTACACTCACACACTC